GAGAACAGGCCAGGGAGAGGTCCCCCACAAACGCCCATTTCAGAATCCCCTCATCAGACTTGATCATAAGGTTCCATTGCCGCGCACCTGCGCGCAGCCACGCACGCGCGAGCGGCGGCAGGCCGCTCTCAGCGCAAAGGATCGTGGCGGGCACGCTACGCCGCACCCCCCCAAGGACTTACGAGGAAACCCTGCCCCCGCCGGGGGGCCGTACACCGTGCGCAAACACCGTGCAATGCCACCATCGTCAAGGGCGCGGGGTCACGTGAAAGTGCCCCCCCTTGATTCCCTATGGTGGGGGGTGTGGCTCACCACACACACCCCTCTCCTTAACCCGACGCGGCGCCGCTTGCAGCGTGGCTTCTAGCCGCGCGAGGCGTCCGCGTAGTCTCTTTCTCTCTCTCTCTCTCTCTCAATGCCACCTGAGAGCGAGTACCAGTGGTAATCATTGCGGGACCGTGAGCAAGGCTGCGGCTGCGGGGAAACCCGGGAAAACCGCTTGGCCCGAAGGCCGACGCCTGGCCAGCCCTGTCCCCCCACCTCGAAAGCGGCCCGGGCCGAGGGGGAGTGAGCTCACAATCCATGCAGGACAAGCAACAGATCTTGTAACAATCCTAATCCTATTCCTAATCTCAATCCTAATCCTCAGCCCCTCAAGGACTGACGAGGAAATCCCGCCCCCGCCGGAGGGCCATACACCTGGCACAAAACATCGTGAAATGCCACCTCAGAGCGAGTAGGGATCATTGCGGGACCGTGAGCAAGGCCGCGGCTGCGGGGCAACCCGGAGAGACCACTTGTGCCTGAAGGCCGACGCCTGGCCAGCCCTGTCCCCCCGCCTCGAAAGCGGGCCGGGCCGAGGGGGGGGGGGGGGGTGAGCTCACGAGCGAGCGCGTGCAGCAGCGTTTTGAGCTGCCAAATTGCCGCCGTGCTCCTGGTCCAAACCCTGCTCCTGCGTCCGCCACTGCCCCACAGGTGCCGCCGGCGCCACCGTGGCTGTGACAAAAGGTAGCCTGCACGCCGCATAGCTCCAGCACACCGCCTCGGCCAGCCCCACACACCGGTCGGGCACCCGGGACACCTTGCAGCCTCCGCAAGGCAGCGCCGGATGAAGCAGCATCCAGGCAAAGCCGTGCAGGGATTAGGATAAGGATTAGGATTAGGATTAGGATTGTTACAAGATCCCGCGGTCGCCCGCTCCTGGAGCCATCCAGGCTCATGGGATATGACTTGGTGGCGAGGGAGGGTGCATGCTCGCGCCCGGCGCCACACCGCACGCCGCTCGTCCCGCTGCTGGGCGCCGCACGCAAGCGCGTCGGCACAATCGTCGTTCTCCACGGCCTCCGGCGCCGCCACAGCCGCCGCAGCTGCGGCCGCCCGCGCTGCCGCAGCAGCGGCGTCGGCACGCCGCCGCGCCGCACGCACTGCCGGCAGCTCTTTTTTAATACATGTGAAGTTACATGAGAGGCTGACGACACCTGCGCAGATGCGGCCGCCCGAGCCCGCCCCAGACGCGGCGTCGCCGCCAGCGCGTGGTGGGACCACAAGCTGGCAGCCGAAGCGAGGCCCCCAGCCCCTCAGGGACTTACGAGGAAATCCCGCCCCCGCCGGGGGGCCGTACACCGGGGGCAAGACAGCGGTTCGGGCCCAGCGATTTTCCCGGGTTTCCCTGCAGCCGCAGCCTTGCTCACGGTCCCGCAATGATCACTACTCGCTCTCAAGTGGCATTGCGCGGTGTTTTGCGCCCGGTGTGCGGCCCCCCGGCGGGAGCGGGGTTTCCTCGTAAGTCCTTGAGGGGCTCACCTTCGATGGGGCGATTGACCTTGGGGCCCTCGACGCCGAGGCGCAGCGACAGCGGGCAGCTTTCGTCGAGA